AGGCTAACTCTGGAAGAGGACAAAATTAAACTATAGTTGTCCTGAAGGAAACATGGTGTAGAATGGACCATTAGGCATGAAACAATGTGTATTTCCTATAGCTTCCTCCCCATCCTGCCTAGCCAAGCTTTAATATATTATGTTCTCAAGATCTGTCCATAGCATTAAAGGGAAGTATTTGAAGTGGCATGGCCTAACCATATATTCAGTGTGATCTTCTGATGAGTGAGATGATCAAACTCATCTACATGACATTCTAAACTTTGAAGGGCCTTCATTGCCCATAATAACTGCCCTGGAGCACCATTAATATGGGGTTATGTCTGTCCAGTTATACCACAGTGTTCTCTGCAAAGCTAAATCCAGAAAACAAGGTGCTGAAGGGTTGGGTGCACAGCAGGTCACCAGTGCAGCCCAGCTGGTCCTGACTGTGGTGACTGAAAATGTTCTCAGCAGGGCATGCTTTAACAGAGGGACGTGAAGATCAATTCCTACACTGGGAAGTTTCAAGTGCTGCTCCAGAAGTTGTGTGCAAAGAAATTCGGGGGCGGGATGTGGAACTTAGTTCTAATGATGGTTTACCACTAATGTTCTCCTCATTCAGTGAGGAAAGCAGCTGTAACACTGTCTCAGCATTCCCACCATGTGTAGTCCTGGCTGCACCCAGGCAGAGGGTGTGTGTAAAGAGCAGAGACTGATAACAGGGCTAGGGCCACTGTGTCTGGAAATAATGGCCACAGCAGCAAATATATGAAGGCTGGAAGCACAATTATAACTTCTTTCAGTGTTTTTGCAGCTACTGTTGTATATCCGTTTCCTTCCTTTCTTTTACCTGAGTCTAGTCACATCACCACTGAGAGGAACAGGGCATCCATTTCTCAATCCTGAGGGGCAGCAGCAACACTTGTACTAAAAGAAATGTTGGATTTTACATCTCTAGCACCAGTCACTGAGAACACTGCTTGTTCTTGCAAAATTCTGGTGATTTTCTCTTTGCTCAAAAGATGATCTAAGAGAAGAAGTGACAATTTCGTGTTAACCACTTCAGCTTGTTTCCAAAATAAATGATCCTGAAATAAATCCTATGGTGAAATTTAGCACTTTCATTTTGTAATAACATGCTCATTTGACAAGAACTCATTTCCCATGTGCCAGTCTTCTGATATGTCACACTGAAGACTCATTGGCCCTGCTGACAAAAATTTCCTGGAGCCCTATCCTAGTATGGAATCTCTTTTGCTGGGAAAAGAATTGCATTTTAAAGGAAAATTCAGAAAAAAAGCAATGTTGACTGAGAAACCTCAGGCTTTCCAAATAAAGATCAGCCTTTGCTCAACCCCTCTGTGTTTGTAGTCTCCCTGCCTTTATTTCAGCACTAATTAGAATACAAAATATGGCACAAAATCTGTCTCTAATAGGATTTCTAATTCTTCACTTTTGCTTATGTCTGATCCAAAAGTTATGGTAAGCTGTCTCGAGATCATTGGGCTTTTCATTAATCTTTTGACTCATACTCCATCTTATTCACACAAACAATACAACATTTGTGCATAAGATTGATCCCAAATGTCATTTTCCCCTCTGTCTTCCGAATGCTTAATATTTTAGGGATTAGAGAGAGCAGAAACACTTAGGTAAGGGACACTCCACAAATTATAAACCAAGTGTGCTCAGCATACAACATTTCAGGTCCCCAAAGACAAATCTATCCAAACAGTGCTGCTGGGAGGCCTTGGGGCTGAGCAAAGCCCTGGCAAGGCTGGACACAGCAGCTCTGTGCCACGGGACAGGGCTCATACACCAGGACAAGCAATGCTGGTGAGAGCCTGGACCCCCCATTAGCAGCCCTCCCAGTAACTGCGCCTGGTGTTTGTCCTGATTGTCAGGAAAGGAGCAAAAACACAATCACCTCTAATCCCAGAGCCCCTCTTGCTATAGTATGGCTCCTGTGCAATTGTTCTCAGCTTGAATACCACTTCCGCCCATTTTCACAGGCTGTAAAGCCCCCCTATGTATCCCCTTAGAGTAATTTAATTAATACATAGCTGATGCAGAAATGGATGTAATGACAGGACTGGTCATTTGTCAGAGAGCTACTTTGCTGTAAGAACATCATGCCTTTGAGTTTAAAGGAATCCAGACTTTTCCAGCGAGGGTTTAACTTACAAGGAGGGATTTTCTTTACTTAACACCCCAAATAAAAGGTCATGCTGATTTGTATTTCTTTTTAAGAAAATTCCTTTTCATTTCTGGGGGTTTAATTTCCAGTGTTTTGACATTAACACCATCAGAAACCACAACATGCTGAAGCTGATGGTGTCCTCAGGCCCCCCAGCAGCTGTGTCAGTCAAGGTAGCAGTAAGTCAAGTAAGCAAACCTGTAAGCACCCTGCACCAGTGGTCTCATTAAAGGTAGTCTGTGCAGCAAACTTTTTTTTTAAGATCAGGGAATAGAGTAATTAAAAATGGAGGTTGTTGCCAATAACCAGGATAAAAGGTAATATCTGTGGTAATGAAAAGAAACAGACAAAAGGGAAACACCAGGAATGGAAATGCCTCTAAGCAGAATGGTTCAAGTTGCCCTGTGATTATTAAGCATGTATTTCCCCAGAGAAATAATTGCCTTGGATTAAGTGATTTGTAGGAATCTGTTGCTGGGTTACAGGTAGCAAGGGAAGGTGGGGTGAGGGTTGCAGAGGTAAAACAAGCCCTGGGCTGGTTTCCTTTTTCAGCCCAAAGACCCAGGCAGCTGCACCAGCCCCATGAGTGCCTCCCAGCCAGCACAGGAGCACACACAGGCCATGTATGGGAGGAAACTCAGAGTTCCGTGCTCCCTGGCAAGTGGCAAGGGTGGGGCTTTCCTGTGCTTATGGGCTAAGATAACTGGCATTTCTCCCCCCTTTCTTAATTGTTCTTCTGTGCTGTTTTCTATATAATCATTATTATCATCATAAATACAGATGCTACTCAGTTTCAGCCTGGGTTCTGGGTTTCTTCCTGTCCACTTCTGAGATATCTCTGCCTCTGTGGATGGTTTTTTTGCACATTCTCCTCTCCCTGACACCAGGGACTCTTCGAGTGATTGTAAGCAGCCCCAGTTTGACAAACTGCACAGCCCCAGTCACACATTCCTCCTGGACTTGCGCACTGGAATTTGCAGTTTTGAATATTTGAAGTAAACTGTATGTATTTTATATCCAACTGGAAGAGGAGATAAATCCTCTGAACTCTGTTTACCAGGCAGTCTTGGTAAGGAAGACATTTTCCATGCTAGTGCTGTTTACAGCTCCTCATCCACAGATAATCAAAAGGCTGTAGTCATTATGTATCAGCATGTCCAACTCCATGACGGTCCACAAGCTCCCGATGTTCTTGTATTTCTTTTTTTGGGTGTCTTGTGGCTATTTGGGTGCTTAGTGGCTAAAGTTCATCTTCTGGTCGTTAAAAAAAGGAAGTGAAAGGCCATATTCAGTGTGCTGTGACCTTGTTGTCATCCTCCTGTTACTACACTGGGGTCCTCTGCTGAAGTCACCTGTCAGGATGTGCGCAGGGCATGGCTCCTTGTTACCTCAGCACTCACATCCTCAGCTGCCAATCCATGTGATTCCTTTAACCTTTGCTTATTCTTTCCTCTGCTGCTTCTGCTTCATATATGCATTTTTCCATTCATGCTGCATTCATATGAGTCTTAAGATTTGGATCACAAACCTCTGCATGCCACAATACATGCTGTGCATTTTTGTACAACAGAGAAAACTGCTTACATAGGGGCAGGAAATGTGTTCTTTTCAACTCTGTGATCTCCTCTACACTGGAAGGACACTTTGGGCTAACTGAAACTAAATCTAGTCAAACCAATTCAAAAGTCACTGTGAATTTAACTTTCAATTTTGTCTATAACCTTGAAACCTATTGCAATCAAAACAAGCCTTTCTTAGGACACCCAGTGCAAAGGCACTGGGGCACAGCTCCTTGTGAGTGCTGTGAGGCAGCTGGTGAGGTCTGTTCTCTTTCTCCAGCTGCTGTAACTGCAGCATTCACACTACAAACACTCCCTGCATCTGCCAGCCTTGCGGGGCTGAGATCTGCTGCTGGCTGCAGGGGATGAACCAAGGCTACTTTGCAAGAAAAATCGAGGACACCAATAGTGCATGAAGAGACTGTAGCAAGTAAAATGTCTCCCCAGCCTGATGATAAAACCTCTTGTAAATATAGTGGTTTTGACATGGGCATTTAACTCCTTAACATACTACAAAGACTCAAAATGTACTTGAACAATTAAAACAGTAAAGTCAATTTTGGAATCTTTGCGAAAACATGTTTAAATTGTATGCCTTGCTCTTAAACAGACTTTCATGCCTGGTATAAGCTAATGGCAGTTAGTTATTCTTCCTGGACCAATATAAGAATCTCTCTAGTGGTACTGACAGGTGACATGCAGATCCCATATCCAAGGCTCTTCTAATTTTCTGGGTGGTCCCTAAGCGTTTGACGCTGGTTTTTTTACATTTGCCTGACACAGTGTGCAGGAGAGAGCTGTGCCTGTTCATCAGTGTTTAGTCTTCTGAAAAATGATCAATTAGACTCCGATAACTGGGACTTCCACACTTGTGGGTGCCTGTATTGGCAGGACCTCTCCGAAGATCTGGCTGCGGACTTTATCAGTAAATAGGAAATACAAAGATAACGGCACTAAAAGGAATTTGAGCAGCCGAAATCCGAGACGAGATGCCTCCCGCCCCACGCTTAACTGGGAACGGACGGTGACCCTGCCCGCGAGCTGCTCCCGGAGCAGGGTGCCGGGAAAAGCAGAGCGAAGTTTCCTGGCTCCCGTGGGACCCCCCGAGCAGGAGGGGGGGACAGCCGCCCCCTGCCCCTGCCCAGCCCGCGGCGGGCGGTGCCGCTGCCCGGCAGGGCCGGGCCAGGCGGGACGGGGGCGGAGGGCGGGCGCCCCGCGGCTCCTCATATAGCACTGCCCGCGGCGGCGGCGCGCACAGCCGGCTCGGCAGCCGCCCGGGGCAGCGGAGCAGACCCGCCGCGCCTTCCTTCCTGCGGAACCCGTGGGACAGCGGCGGCGGCAGCAGCAGCAGCAGCATGACTTCGGCGGCGGTGGAAATTTTGGGGCTGGGACTGGGCATCCTGGGCTGGGTGGGAGTGATCCTGGCCTGCGGGTTGCCCATGTGGCAGGTGTCGGCCTTCATCGACGTGAACATCGTGGTGGCGCAGACCATCTGGGAAGGGCTGTGGATGAACTGCGTGGTGCAGAGCACGGGGCAGATGCAGTGCAAGGTGTACGACTCCATCCTGGCGCTGCGGCCCGAGGTGCAGGCGGGCCGGGCGCTCACCGTCATCGTGGCACTGCTGGGGCTGGTGGCGCTGATGGTGACCGTGGTGGGCGCGCAGTGCACCAACTGCATCCGGCCCGGTAAGATGAAGTCCCGCATCGTGATCGCCGGCGGGACCATCTACATCCTCTGCGGGGTCCTGGTCCTCATCCCGCTCTGCTGGTTCGCCAACATCGTCATCAGCGACTTCTACGACCCCACCGTGCCGTCGTCCCAGAAGCGGGAGATGGGGGCCGCGCTCTACATCGGCTGGGCGGCCACGGCCCTGCTGCTCTTCGGGGGCTGCCTCATCTGCTGCTGCTCCTGCTCCCAGCGCGACGAGACCTCCTTCCCCGTCAAGTACTCGGCGCCGCGGCGGCCCACGTCCAACGGCGAGTACGACAAGAAGAACTACGTCTGAGCGGGGCTGGCCCGCTCCGCGGCCCCGCGGGGCACGGACAGACGGCTGCGGCCCGGGAGCGTCTGCTGGGAGTTCCAGCGCTCCCCTGCCTGGAGGCTTTTCCTAACGGGGACCCCCGTGAAGCGGCGGCCCTAGGCAGGGCAGCGCCCCGCTGCCCTCCAGCCCGGCTCCCCGGCGGGTCCGGCCGCTCCGCTGCGGGCAGCGCCGCGCTCGGCGCCGCCGGCTCCCGGTACTGACCGACCGCACTGCCGGCCGAGCACAGCCCTCCGCGGCCGCCCAGAGCAGCCCAACCGGCGTCTCCCCGGGCCGGCCGGGGGAGCCGAGGAGCGCGGGCGAGTCACTGCGGCGTTTACCTGGACGCCCCGTCCGGGCTTCGCCGCCGCCTGCCCGCCCGGCTCCTGCCGCAGGCCCGGCCCTTCCCCGGCGTTACCGTGACACTTGTGAGTACCTCACCGCCCGCTGGCGCTGCCGCTGCCTCGGGGCACGCCTGGCTGCTCGGACCGGGCGTCGGGTGCGCACCGTAGCCGAGGAACAGCTTCCCATCTTCGTTCTCTCTCCCAAAAGGCTGCATCTGGCAGTTCCTGCTCGGACTGATAAGGGGGGGTTTGATCTATCTGGGCAACTAAAATAGGGATCCTGTCCAAAGCATGACACTAACCTTGGTCCTTAATCCCACAAGCAGTAGCTGTTTGGAGAAAGTTATTTGATTTTCTTCAGTTGTTTCAGTTCCTCAGTGAAGTGTATTGGTCTGTGTGTATTCGAAACCTTGAAAGAGATTTGAGGAGTTACTGTCCTTTAGTGGAGTACAAGTCAGATAACACTAGGTTGTCTTTTGAGGTTCTTCATCTCTTCTTCAGCTTATGCTCTGTTTTTACTTGAATATTAACTCATTGCCAGAATTATTCGAGGACTAGATTTAAAAAAATCTAGGAGATCACTGTATATCCTGGCTCCACCAGGGCCTCTGCTCTTCTCATCTGCACTACATGAGACTGGACATGTAAAAATCGCCCCAGATACTGATGGCTGGGGGGAATGATGTCTTTGTGGCATTCTTGCCAAACTCTGCTTGCTGCCAGTTTTAAAATGTGTGTTCAACATGTACTTGGTTGGCTCCCCACCATGGTTTTGTTAACACATGTTTTCCTTCATTTACCAAATCAAGCAAAAAATTGCTAGAAGAATTTTACCAAAAATATCTTGACTGGGACTTTATGCCAGGTGATCAGTTGTGAACTGGTAACTCTCACAGCTCTCAGCTCCTCTGCATTGCCCTAGTAACACTCTGCAGACTGGAAGGAAGATGGTTTGGGCAACATAATTAATTTTCCTGAGGTTAACACCTCCTGAAGTTCACCACAGTCTGAAATATTAGCTAACACTTTTTCATTCTACACTGCAGAGACAAACTTTGTTAAAGGAGGGGCTTAAGGGGATGGTGTGATACTCCTCCAATCTAATTACTTGTAAATCCACACAGGATTATGCTACTGACTGTGGCAGCATCTGCAATGCCATAAGGAGATTTCTGCCAAGAGTTAGGGAGGAAATGTGCTGTTTATACTCCTCAGAGAACAACACTACGACCTCATAGGTCCTCACAATCAGGTAGCAGTACAGAGCACACCTGACCTGGGCATTAAGTCTTGCAGCTTTTTTTTTTATTGACAAACCATAACTGTGGGTATGACAGATTTACAGAGGCTCTGTTCTTGCCTTGCTTAATAAAGTTAAAACCCTGGAGGTATCAGCAATTTAAAAACTGGAATAAGAGACTAAAACCTTGCCCCTACAAATGTTGATGTTGAATATTGAGCACATGATTTACGCTTTTGAAGATAACTGCTTTTGTTTTTTAAACACATAAATAGCAGGGTCTGAGTTCAACAGAGAATATAAAATCAGAACAATATGTCTACAACTACTTCTGCTCTATAAAGAGGTGCAGTTCTAATACTGTCTCCATTTAAATAAAAGCTGTAATATTGTTTTAATGATGTGATATGTAGTTTTGGTACAAGAGTGAAATATTCTGTATTTCATCATTACAACTTTTTAAAAGCAGTGTAACCTTGTAAACTGTAATTGTATTTAAATGCATATATTTTGCAAGAAATCTACCAAAGTTGGCTTGTTATATGGTTTGGTGCCTTTATTTGTTTAATGACTATTTTACTTTAAACTGTAACAGTCAACTGTATTTGTCACTCATCCTCACTCAGCTCTCTGGTGTCTAGCAAATGAGTCCACAGATACTAGCCCAAATCCTGGACCTCTCTTTTGTCTCAAGTTAAAGAACTAAACTCCACTGACAAAAATGTCTGCATTTTTTTTCTGCATGAACAGTAGAGCCTTCAGAAGTGCTGCAGAATTTGGGGTCTGACCAAAAGATGAAATCTTTCTGGACAATGCATCACTAGAATTTCAAATAAAAAGTGGTGTCTTTGAGAGAGGGAGGGAAACCCACGCCTTAGAAGGGAATTTTAACAAGCCAAATTTCTTGTATCAAGGCAGGGCTGGATCTTCTTATAACCAAAACCTGAAAAAATTACACAGAAAGACCTCTTGGAAGAAGCCAGTGCTAACTGTGCATGTGCTACTAAACACAGCATCATCCTACCAAAACCATAACTTGTGGCTGAGATCAGTGGGGCAGCACCCAACAATACCTGCAAGAAGTAAAAAATATTTTTATATTTAATCTCATCCTTCGGTATTCTTAGTTGTTGCTGTGCTTTAAAAGATAACCTGAGAGAATGCTGTTACTGATGTCACTGGCTTCAGGGTAAAAGTCTAAGTTGGTTTTTGCTATGATTTGTTTTCTAAGAACAAAGATCTAGTCCTGAACTTAAAACCTTGGAAGTGCTTAGGATCAGGCCTGAACCTCATCCCAATGAAAAGATAAATCTATAGCACTTGTTTACTATTTTTATTTTGTATTTATGATTTCGCATAAAAATAAAAACATGTAAACCTATCCCTGAACAGGGTCACTGTGTTTTGTGAAAGCCACGGGATTGTTTGGGCTCAGAAAGGTGGATGTGGGGTGCCCAGAGGGAAATTACCTGGGCTACCTTTAGGGAGGAGAGCTGGGTCACCTCTGGGGAAAAAGGAAGGGCTGCTCCCTTGCAGAGCAGAGCAGGCAGCATCTCAGCTCTCCACTGAAGCCTCAGACAAAAGAGAGCAAGTAGCAGCAGTTGGTCTTGTGATTTGAGCACATTAGGAAGTGGAGTGTGAGTCCCAGCTATTTTGGGAACAGCTCTAAGCATGAAGCTTTTAAAGCTTTCAATTTCTACACATTTAAACTAAAAGGAAAAAAATTCTGCTGCTTGGATCAGCCCCAACCTGACCTGATACCCTAATTCTTTCTGCCAACCATTTCTTTTTTTTCAAAAGTGCATTCAAGCTGGGGAAAAACATTTTCACAGATGCAGCAGAACAGAACCTAAAAAAACCCTCCAAAACCAATAAAGACTGGTAAAGTCAACTATATAGACTAATTTGGAGAAATTTGCCCAAGTTATAAGAGTGCCAGGGAGGACATTCAATATTTTGCAGATTAGTTTTCTTGCAAGATTTTCAAGCTTTGTTCTAACAAACTGTTGCTTTAAAAATGAAGAAAAAAAACATCTTCAAAGCCTTCATTTTGCAGCATACTTGCCAGCTCAGTTGAGATTAACAAAAGCTCCTTGCCACCCTCCCATTGCTATGCACATGCTGAGCTGGAAAAAGGGTGTCTGTCGGCTTGGCCTTTGTCCTGCTAAACGAACCATTTCATAGTTATGAATTTGAAAGTAACCTGCAGTTCATACCCTCCAAATCTGGTTAGATCCTGTCTGTGCAAAGAAGGGAAATGCACCAGGCAGAGGGAAAAGGAAGCTCAATCAGTCACGTTTGCTGCAGGATGTTTAAGGAAATATTTCCTTTTCCTGTACAAAGATGTTTGTTGGGCATTTGCTCTTTGAAACATACAAAGCATTTTTCTCTTGAAGTGAGAAAGCAGTGTAACTTCAGATTTTTATTTAAAATCTATTCTCTGATCAAATATTATGCAAGGAATTTGTTCTTTTTCCTTGGCCATCTTTCAAACCCCAAATGCAGGTCTCCTCCAACACATCCATAGATCTGTAATGCTAAAAGATAGTCCTGCCTGTCAGGAGCCATATGCCACATGTAAGTGCCATGTTCATGCATAGTATTCAGCATCAGATGGTACCCACAATGCATCCCTTTTTGTGTGTGCACCAAAGAAGAAAATCATTAATTAAGTACATGTGTTTGAGGATTTGCTTTTATAAGTCTGCTTGGTAAGACATAATAAATATTCCTGCTGTATTAGATTAACTGGGTGAGAGCAGGTGAATTCTCTTTTCAGGTCAAATACTACATTTGTTTTATTTGTGGCCTGATAAGACAAATCATTCCAAAAGCGAAGCCTCAAGAGGTTCTTATATTTATATTTTGGATGTGACTGAGTTCTATAATTTTTATTTTGATCAGACCTTTGATTGTGTCTGTGTGTGTGTGACTGCTCCAGACTGTTCCTTGCTGACTCTCTGCAGCAATAAGCTCTCTGTCTAGAAACCTCCTTCTTGTACCTACTATAACCCTTAGTTAGAAGAAAAGAACTTCAACCACTGCATCACTGATAAAACCTCCCACTGCTACAGTGAAGGCTTTGCAGTTGCTTGGATACACAAGACTTGCTTCACCTTTTTCTTGAACACAGATTAAGACATCATGAATCAATTTAGCAGTGTGCTTTGTTGCATTTGGGGATTTTGTTTACAACACTGAACTTCCCCCTCCTTCCAAAGCTCACCAAGTGGATTCAACCCAAAATCGTACAGAGAAAGGTGAGGAGTAGCAGGACTCAGCATGGAAACACAAGTGTTTCACACAGTGCTGAAGGCATCTGCCCAGGGCTCATGCCAGACTTCTCATCATGCCCAGCTGCAGCCTGGCCACTCACCTACAGCCCTGAGGGAGAGCTTTGCCTCTCTGGAACTGGCACCCATGGTTTGGGCTGCTGGTCACCGTACCCAAATAAGCTCAGGATAATGGGGGATCAAATCACACAAACTTTACCACTTAAAAAGTGAAAATATGCATCAGAGTCTGGTTTAAAAGTGTTACAGGAAAATGGATATATGAATGAGTCTAGATGTCAGCCATCCTGACAAGAATTAACTGGTGCATTAACTGAACTACTGGCTTTAGTTTTTTGATTTGAGAACAATAGAATCATACAGCATGATTAAA